GAATTCGAAAAACTCGAAAACGAAAATCTGATTTTTTGACGTAGAATGACGAGTCTCCCCCCTTAAAACCTTGCGAACCGATTCAAATTTGCAGCTGTGGCAGACAAATGCAGTTCCTCGACGGAGAGGGTCCGGAAGACCGACTTGCCATCCTTGCCAAATTGAATATTCACTCCAACAAAATGACGGTTTCCCTTGGAGCACCCATCCACTTTGACCGACACCATTTGGCCTTCGACTTCCTCAGCAATCTTTCCTCGAATTTTCTCAGCAAAGCCGTGGATTTTTGCTGGCATAGTCTTAGAGGTGATTCTGACCCTGAAACAATTCAGAAAAGGCTGATAACAAGGTAGGTGTACGCCAGACAGTGTCTGGTCGTAACAGGCTTCGCGATGCTGCGCCAGTTTCGACCATCCACGCCTGGTGTATTCACCTACCTTGGCCTGCGGCGCTAACCTGCCTCCGGCAGGCTGCTTCCCTAGGCAGGCCGTAGAGATGGGCGTGATTCCCTCAAAAAATAGTATTTGGCCATCAAAATCTACACCAGTGGGATTTAACTTTCGATCGGTGGCCCAAACGGGTTCTATTTTCGTCATCAGCAGCCTCAAAAACATATGAAACAATATGAAACTTGACAAAAAGTTGAAAGTACCAAAAAAGTTGTTGTTGTTGTTGTTGGCGTCTGTGTACAAGGAAGGAGTTGAGCTAGAGTAACCAGATTTGGAGGGTACTTCAGGAGTACCGTCCAAACAAATAATCCGGTGGTGCAAATCCCGTCCGGGTCGCACAAGGGCTGCTGCAGGTGCATCAAGGTTTACATGAGCGGGAGGGGGATTTCCGCCATTATTGGTGGTAGCAGGGCACATAGGGGTAATTTTGGAATCGGGGCGACGAGACAAGATGAATGGACCTGGTCCCGACCCCATCGGCCGCTTTTACAAGTTGGCCAGATCAGGATCTTCAAAAAAGGGGGTCGACCGACTAAAAAAACGTTAACGCTAACGCTAACGTGAAAGCAGATGATACTTAAGAGAATGTTTATTGAAATGTATGAATGTGACATTTTGTCAATTTCTTTCAAAGAGTAAACACTCGGAACTCCTTTTTTGACAAATTTCTTACACAAGGTAATTCATGAAAATGTCAATTTTAGTATAACTTTTGAGTATCCTAACGTGCCATTGTTTTGTGTTAAACATGTTCGCAATGACGGTGGGACACTCATGTCCGATACCACTTGTGTTGGGTATCATTTTCGTTGTTTCAACGCGAGGATGCACAATTTGGTGGCCAATCACATAAATACTCAATACCCGTAAAAGTTGTGTTCGGTACTAGGCCAAGGCGCCTTGCGGCAGGCGGCGTGTCAGCCACATCTCCAAGCGGGGCCGGCCGGCCGGCGCGCCACCCGAACCCGACCTCAAGATAGATAAGCAAGAGTGGTGCACACAGCCGACAGCCGGCGCGCCGCTTCTCGAGAGGGGCAGGGGTTCGAGGGGGCGCTGCATTATGCGTTCTACGCACTCAAGGTTCAAGTGGGTGTGTGTGTGTGTGTGGACAGTTGCGGGGTGTGGCGGGGCGCGGCGGGACGTGGCGTCTCGGCAGAGGAAGAGGCGCGGGGGGCAGCTGCGCGATGCGTAGCAGCGTCTCGTGACGAGAGGAAGGGGAGCGGCACCGCGCAACGTGAGGGAGGCACTTCATGAGTACTAGATAGCTGGGTTTATACGCCCGAGGTTATATGCCGCGCGCGCAACCTGAGCCCCCGCAGGCGCCCCGATTCATGGTGCGGCGCGCGGCACGGCGCGGCGCGGCAGACTGCGGGCCCTCCGCTCATAATCTTCTAGGCAGGCCAGCCAGCCGCTGCCTTGCCAGCGAGGCGCTCGGCCTCTTCTAGGCTTGCTAGTCAGGCAACGAGGCAACTGCTGCCTGGCTAGCCGGAAACTCGGTACTCTCTGCACGAGAGTACAAGCACGCTGATACGTGAACGTATCATCTGCTAAAAAATTTATTGCAGATTTCGATTGGTCTCAGCAAGACCTTTTCAACGAGGGGTCGGAAAGGGGGTCCAGGAGCCCGACTTCGTCTATTAGTCACATCAGGATCTTGAAAAAAGGGGGTCGACCGACTGAAAATTTTTACATAAGTTTTGGATAGGTCTTGGCAAGACCTCTGCAACGAGGGGTCGGAAGGGGGGTCCAGGAGCCCGCCTTCATGAGTTATGGGAAAGTGCGACGGACTCGTTTTGCGCTCCTGCTGTGCCTCTATTGCAAGGAGTTGCAGTAGCATGGCAAAAATGGGTATTTTCGGAATGAGGGCGAAGAGACAAATGAAACGGGCATATTCTAAGGACAGTTGGAGTTAAAAGTGTAAGGACTATTGCATATTGTGAATAGAAGGGTGGGCCTAAGTCACGATGGTACATCGATAACTTTGCTTTACCTGCGCACGGTGTGTGTGATGCGAGCGGGCTGAAGGCCCGGGCCTTCGACTGGCCAAGTTGGGTCTGATGCGAGGGCCGAAGGCCCGAGAAAAGGCCGCCGGCAGGCCAAGCTGGGCCGGCCCCCTGTCGAACCGGGTTGCCGGCGCAGCGAAGCGGAGCTGGCAACTCGGTTCGACGGAAGGGCGGGCCCTAGCTTGTTTCTGTCGTTTTTGAAGTGTTTTTTGGCTGATATGACCGAATGGATTGAGATAGAAAGCTGCATTTTGGTGTGTGGCGAGCCAAGGACATACCTAATGACCCTACAAAATCTCAGCCAGATCGGCCGAGCCGTTCAGGAGGAGTAGTGCACACACACACACACACGCACGCAGACAGACAGACAAACAGACAGACAAAACTTTTCAACCCCACTGGAGAAACGGGCTTCGCTATCGCTCAGCCAATAATTTTTGAAACTGGTTTAAAAAGCTTTTTCTTTAGTCTTTCTAGAATTTGTGTTTCAGTTTTGATTTTTGTTCTCAAGCTGTCCACTGTTAGATTAGCTTAAACCTTAAGTACGATAGTAGTAAAGACCCCCCCAGGTGAGGGCGGCCATTTTGTACCCCCCCAGGTGACGTCTGTCTAACCTATCCTTCGGAAGGTCCTGAGGGGTCATTTTTTGGAAAAAAAAAAATTTTTCATTTTTTTGCGAATTTTTTTGGAGGTGAAGATGAGGGCTCTAACCCAACCTAACCTAAGCTAGGGGATGGGCCTAACCTACCCTTCAACCCCCCGGAGGGTGTTCGGGGCGATCAGGACTGTGAGGCGCGTGAGGTGCGCTTAACGGAGCGCCTGCGAGGTAGGCAGGCCCGCCGCGCTCCGCGCCGCGCCGCCGGGCGCCTGGCGGTCTGTCCCCAGGTGACGCTTCGGACTCGGCACCGTGTCCCCAGGTGACGCATCGGGCCTGCTTGCAGTCTCCCGAAGCGCCTAATCAGACGGATATCATTGGCTTTCATTTTTAGGGAGTTTTGTCGTTTTATGATTTTTTTGTGTTTTCAGTTTTTTCTTACAGTGCACCCTCATCGAGGTGAGTTGAGGTACACCTGCATCCACAAGCCCACTCGCTTCGCATTGCGCGCAGCACATGTTTTGGAGCTGTGAGAGCCCACGGTATCATTATGGCAAGGTGCCCATGCCTTGGGTAATTTTTTAAGGCTTGGACAACCGAACTTCTCTACATCAAAGATTTTCTTTGAGGGTAAGAAGAATTGAAGAATTCTTTTCTTCTCATCCCCCTTGACGTAGAGGAAGTCATACTCCGCCGACATCTCGCTCAGAGTCTGAGGGAGTCTGTCGTAGGCCGAGAAGCCAGTTTCCCAGGGAAGGGAATGCAAGTGCCTCACGATATACTTGTTTTGACGCAATTGCTTCTCTGGGATCTCGTCTCCGGGGTAGGGTGGAGCGAAGGTGGCCGACTTGTGGATTTGAGCCGCTTCGTTTTGTTCATAGAACGAAACCTCCTTGAGAACATACTCCCCGTACTTGCCCCGGAGCATCTGAATGTCGCAGATAGCGTAAGTCATCGTGCTGATGTGTACTGGTCAGCGACTGAACGAAGAATGATGGTCGTGGGGTCGGGGCGCCTGGATTTATACCCCGCGCCAGCGCCGCCAGCGCGCCCTCACGGGAAAAACGGGAAACCCTACTGGGGAAAAAGGCGCCACCACCCAGGGGGACTCGAACCCGTGCCTCCGCGCTCGGAGCGCGGCAGGACACTCTCTCTACCCTCTGGGCTACTGCGCCGTGCTCGCATGGGGTGGGAAAGGCACGCATGTTTACCTGGGAGCGTCGCGCGGCCACGCGCAGGTCCAAGCGTGTTTGAATTTTACGCGCCGCCGCGCAAGTTCCGGCTGGACAGGAAGGCGCCTTCCCTGTGCTACGCCACGCCACGCCACGCCGCCGGTGACGAGCCGAGTCGGCCGCCGAGCCGAGCCGGGCTGAGCCGAGGCGAGCCGAGCGACACTACGCCGCGCCACGCTGTGCTGGCGCGCCCCCACCCCCTGTCCCCCGACCTGCCTTAACTCTTTCTTTCATTCATTTGTCCCCTTCATGCTGACACGTGTTTGATATCATTTCTCCGGCTGAAATATTTTTCTGGAATTATTGGCAATACTCCCCCTGTCATGTCTTGTCCGGGGGAAAAACTGTCTGAGAGAAGCTGCTGGTCCAGACCCCCATCCCCTTCGCCCCCCCCCTCTCCCCCCCCCCGGTGTATTCTGAATTTGCATAACACCTGTTGTCAACGCTTCAAGGCAATGTCTAGTGACAAAAAAAAATATTTGAGAGATTTTGATGTCCTACGTTTTTTTATGGTTGTCGCAAAATCGAAAACTATTTGAATTTTGCCGGCCGTTAGAACGACCGGTGCGCCCTCTGCCGGCTGAATTCGGCTCCAGCGCTTCCGGCGCGTTCAATCTTGTCATTTGTCGTGAGGCCTCTGAGTGAGCGTGAGTGTGTGTGTGGGGCGAGTCATTAAAGATGGACGCGTCTGATTTTACATTTGATTACGGGGGGGAAGGTGAGAAGTGGGAGGAAGTGATGAGAGATTTGATCCTCTCGTCTTCTGAAGGGGAAAGAAACGGCTGGAGAAGAAGTCTTAGAGATAGAGGTCGACTGGGAGCTCTACAATGAGGTGAGTGCATCGTTTTGTGGCGTCTTGTACTTTTGTCCTCTTTCTATATGTATTTTCCTCAATGTGAGTGTATTTCCGAGTTCACCTCAGAAAACCCCTTTTCGTAGAGGTAATATTTTCGTGTCGCTGTTGTTGTGATCTGGACTCGGCGTCCCTTCGCGCCATGTGGTCGCAGGGCGCACCGACCCGTCGTTGCCTGTTCGGCTTGTTTCTGTGTGAAAATAGTCGTTCTCTCGTTTCGAATCTTGTTCGGGGTGCTTCGCGAGGGTACTTGTGTGAGAAATTCCGAAAAATTCGTGTTAGAAACACTCCAAACATTGTTATGTTGTCCTTCCCTCTGGCGGCGTGGGTCGTGAAATTTCAGTCATTTGCCACGCCTGGCGAACGCGTGTCGGCTCACATTTGTGACGGCATGATAAAGGTTTGATTTTTGAACCTGGTTACTGGGGCGGTTAACTTCAAATCGACGCGCCGACAAAAGAGGAGGAGGGGGACGCGTGGTGACGTCACACCAGTCGCCGCAAGGTGTCATGGCTGTCAAAGGCTTTGTTTACGTGCCGTAGTGATTTTCAATGTTTTCTTTCAAAGATTAATCGTTGAGTGTGTGAAACGTACAAGTGTTGTGCCGAAATCATCCGTCTGTCCGTGGGAATGAAAGGGAAAATGTGTCGTTGCGAGAAAACGCTCTAGTCGCGTGCTTAATTCTGTGATAGAGAGGTTAGGTTTTCTACAATGAATCTTTCTTGTTTCAGCTGAGCGTGCCTCCTGGAGTGTTACGTGAGAACAATCGCCGGAGTGAAGTTCGGCGTTCACTAGTGAGTTTTATGTTATTTTCTCTTTGATGTGATGAATCTTTGAATTCGTGTGCAGCATTTCACGTGTTCTTTGCTTTTGGTTTCAGACTGTCTGGGAAAGGCTCGAACCCAGGTCTGCTTCGAGGAATACACCCCCCTCTTTGCTTGTGCAGTCTTCGGACGAAGAGGAAGAGGAGCGATTTGATCGATTTCGTGCCGAGCGTCCTCCAAGACAAGTCATCATCATCCCGGAAGAAATCGAAGAGGGAGAAATTGTTGATCCATCCCCCTCTGCTGATCCGTGTGTGAGAGTCAACTCACGGGGAAGAGTTAGCTCCGGAGGAGGACGTGGGCGAGGAAGAGCAGCAGGCTCAGGGGATCAACCAGCAGGGGTCAATGAACAATTGCCTCCCCCTGTAGAAGGCTTTGCTGCCCCACCCCGCCGAGGTGCCAGGGTCGCTAGAGGGAATAAAGGTCGAGGGGCTGGAATGAGCCCACTCTATAAAAAGGGGCCATGTAAGTCTCACTGACCTTATTTGGTGATGATATTAATGTGTAAGCATTGTCATTGTACTAATCGAAGTGATTTCCGTTACAGAAAATGTATGAAGCAGAACTTGCAAAGCGCAAGTGATACAACGTAATTAAACTTATGTTTATTGAATTTTGAACCATCTCTACTTTCTTCCTTGTCAATCCTATTCTCCTCTCATCTTAATCTCGAGACAAGTATTATTTGATTGTTGTCACTCTTAATGGACTTGAGCACTATGTGTAGTGGGACTTAAAACTCTATTTTGGTGTGCTGAAGCTGTCTTTTATTTTCAATTGAGTTTAGAGAATAGTGAATCCTGTCTGATTGTAATTTTGATGTACATTCAAGAATTTTCCTTTTCTTTTTTGGGTGACAGAAACTTGAAGCTTCCTCGGATCAAACTAACGCAGTTAATGTTTTGAAAGATCTTTTGGGTATGAGTGATAAATTTTTATCAACACTATGAAGGGAATGAGCCTCTCGTTATGTTTTAGTTGAGTGACACTGTTGAATTTATTTATTTCTGACCTATGTTGAGTTGAGCAGTTTAACCTTATAGTGTGTGAGTCGATATTGGTAATGTTATCTTGTCACAAGCAGCTGCTCATTCAGTATTGACTTGCTGAGTGCGCCATTCATTTTGAATAGAGTTTAAGTAATGGAGAAGCTTCTCTGATAGTCATTTTGATGAGATTTTTAAAAATTTTGGAGAAATTTTGGGACATAGAGTCATTCAGTTTCTCGGCACTAATTCCAACGGAACAAGACACTAAATTGTTTGTACACAAAGATTTACTTTTGTCTCCTTCTGTTTTCTTCTATTTGAGCTTTAACACATTTGGTATTTAGAGGCCAGAGTATTTTTTCATTTAAGGAGTGGAGAATTTATGAAGGAAAGTTGACATTTTGTTTCTGTCACTTCAGAGAACTGTTTTTTTTATTTTGGAACTTATTTTGAGTAAGAGTGATAGACTCTCAGCAAGAATATGAAGGGAATGAGCCTCTCGTTATGTTTTAGTTGAGTGTCACTCTTGAATTAATTAATTTCTGACCTATGTTGAGTTGAGCAGTTTAACCTTATAGTGTGTGAGTCGATATTGGTAATGTTATCTTGTGACAAGCAGCTGCTCATTCAGTATTGACTTGCTGAGTGCGCCATTGATTTTGAATAGAGTTTATGTATTGGAGAAGCTTCTCTGATAATTATTTTGATGAGATTTTTAAAAATTTTTGGGGAAATTTTGGGACATAGAGTCATTCAGTTTCTCGGCACTAATTCCTACGGAACAAGACACTAAATTGTTTGTACACAAAGATTTACTTTTGTCTCCTTCTGTTTTCTTCTATTTGAGCTTTAACACATTTGGTATTTAGAGGCCAGAGTATTTTTTCATTTAAGGAGTGGAGAATTTATGAAGGAAAGTTGACATTTTGTTTCTGTCACTTCAGAGAACTGTTTTTTTTTATTTTGGAACTTATTTTCAGTAAAAGTGATAGACTCTCAGCAAGAATATGAAGGGAATGAGCCTCTCGTTATGTTTTAGTGGAGTGACACTTTTGAATTTATCTATATTTGAGAAATGAAATATGGACAACATAACCTTATGATGGCTGGGTAGACTCAAGTGATATGTTAAGCTGTACAGGGCAGCTGCACTGTCAGTATTGACTTGCCGAGTGCGCCATTCATTTTGAATAGAGTTTAAGTAATGGAGAAGCTTCTCTGATAGTCATTTTGATGAGATTTTAAACATTTTTGGTGAAATTTTGACTGATAGAGTCATTCATTTTCTCGGGTCCAAATCGAACGGCAGAGGTGACTGAAATGTTTGTACACCAAGATTGTCTTATGACTCCTTTTGTTTTCACTTATGAAAATGAAAGCACAATTGGTATTTACAGTCCACAGTATCTTGTTGTTAAAGGGAGTGAAGAATTATTGAGAAAAAGTGGAGGTTTCTGAACACTACACTGTAGGACTTTCCTCTATTTTAGTGAAAGAATGCTTCTCTCTCTAATTTTTAATTAAAGCTCAGAGAAAAACATATTGTTTTTCTACAGTCATCATTGCTCTATGAAAACGGCCTGCCTGCTACTCCGTGCGCTTTTTAAATCAGACTCTTTCATTATCATTTTTTTGGGTTTTGTTTTATATTTCTTTTTTTGCATTTTCAACTATTATATTCCTTTTTTTGTCTTTTTCTCTCTTTTTTTAAGCCTCTCTCATTGCCTGATAAATGGCTTCTTTGATGAAATCTTTATGATAAGACATCAGATCTAATCTCACTGAGATAGGGAAAGGAGACAGGTAACTTCTCATTGCTCCAGCCATCAAATTATCTGAATGGTCTCGAGTCATCTGGACTACTGACTGTGGTGTCTTGTATCCTATCCTCAAACAGTAAGCCTTGCAGTGGGAAATAAAATGGTCAAAGTTAGACCTGACAAGGATTGACATTTCCGTCAAATTCATGAGATGGAACTCTATATTTTCTTTCAAGTTGTAAATCATCTTCCATGATGAGAGGGCAAGGGAAATTTTAATGGGAGATTCTTTTTTCTCCACACACACTGTAATAAATGTTTTATCTTTGTTAATTGAAAGCGTGATATCCCCAAAGGAAAGAGGTTCCAGCTCAGTTCTTTTTTCCAGTGCATTTAAAACATGCATCTGGACTTCTCTAGACATCATGATGTTCAGTTCGGCTGGACTCATCCTATGGTAAATTCGATTACCCTGTTTGTTGGTTTCACCGAAGAACATCACAAAGGGGGAAAAATCGGTGGCTACATCTAGACCGACTCTAATAGTTTTCGAACCATTTTTAGTGAGTGCAAAGTCCCTTGGGATGCACTGTAAGGGGAATTCTGAGGGGCTAGAATTATTTTTTAGACTGACATGTATTTTCAAGACAGTGGGTGTGTTATTTAGTCCCAATTCCTCCACAGTCTCATTAGCCATCATTTGATTATAGGCCTCATTACACATCTGGTCTAGCAAGTCAGAAGTGGTACTGGACTCACTGGAAGAGTCATACAAGTCTGAACTTGAAGACTCTACGGCAGTAGGGGGAGGGGGAGGGGGGGGACTCGAGGACAGGTCAAA